TACGCAGCACAAAACCGTCTAGTAACACCACACAGCTTTTAAAGTCTGATGTTAGTTTGTGATGCTCTAAAAAGGATACGCAACTAACTGCATAAATTAATTAAATGTAATACAGCCATCATCATCAATCTGTAGCCAAGTTCTTTGCAGAGCACTGCTCTCATCACAGCCTGCCTGAAAGAAACTTGGCTTTTCTACATAATCTCCTGCCTCATGCGCTTTGGTACTGCAGATGTCACTTATATTTTGTGCTTATCTTCATGCTGTTTGCCCCTCTTTCCTGGCACCATGCCTTTTTTACGATCCACCATGGTGCTTGATATGACAAAAATATTTAAGTTTCCAAACAAAATGCTGTTTACAAGCAGATCGTCCTTGATGTTCAGATCTTTTCAAATGCCAGTATTTCTTGTTTCTTGGTCCATGGGATTTTGAAAATGTTTCTATAGCATTTCAGTTCAAAAGCCCCTATACTGTCTTACTGATTGCAAGATAGTCCACGAATGGCGTGTCTGCAGTGATGTTAGGTTAGAATGGTGCGACATGTGTGCAGTGATGTTAGAACCTTGACTAAAAACTAACAGCAAGCACTGTAATATTTACACTTTTTCAAGCAATCAATCAAAAGCCGTTAGAACCTTGACTAACAACAGCAAGCACTGTAATATTTACACTTTTTCAAGCAATCAGTCAAAGGCCTTTAGAACCTCGACTAACAACTAACAGCAAGCACTGTAATATTTACACTTTTTCAAGCAATCAATCAAAGGCCGTTAGAACCTCGACTAACAACTAACAGCAAGCACTGTAATATTTGCACTTTTTCAAAATCAATCAAAGGCCGTTAGAACCTCGACTAACAACTAACAGCAAGCACTGTAATATTTACACTTTTTCAAAATCAATCAAAGGCCGTTAGAACCTCAACTAACAACAGCAAGCACTGTAATATTTACACTTTTTCAAGCAATCAATCAAAGGCCTTTAGAACCTCGACTAACAACTAACAGCAAGCACTGTAATATTTACACTTTTTCAAAATCAATCAAAGGCCATTAGAACCTCGACTAACAACTAACAGCAAGCACTGTAATATTTACACTTTTTCAAGCAATCAATCAAAGGCCGTTAGAACCTTGACTAACAACTAACAGCAAGCACTGTAATATTTACACTTTTTCAAGCAATCAATCAAAGGCCGTTAGAACCTTGACTAACAACTAACAGCAAGCACTGTAATATTTACACTTTTTCAAAATCAATCAAAGGCCGTTAGAACCTTGACTAACAACTAACAGCAAGCACTGTAATATTTACACTTTTTCAAGCAATCAATCAAAGCCCGTTAGAACCTCAACTAACAACAGCAAGCACTGTAATATTTACACTTTTTCAAGCAATCAGTCAAAGGCCGTTAGAACTTCAACTAACAACAGCAAGCACTGTAATATTTACACTTTTTCAAGCAATCAGTCAAAGGCTTTAGAACCTCGACTAACAACTAACAGCAAGCACTGTAATATTTACACTTTTTCAAGCAATCAATCAAAGCCCGTTAGAACCTCAACTAACAACAGCAAGCACTGTAATATTTACACTTTTTCAAGCAATCAGTCAAAGGCCGTTAGAACCTTGACTAACAACTAACAGCAAGCACTGTAATATTTAAACTTTTTCAAGCAATCAATCAAAGGCCGTTAGAACCTTGACTAATAACTAACAGCAAGCACTGTAATATTTACACTTTTTCAAACAATCAGTCAAAGGCCGTTAGAACCTTGACTAACAACTAACAGCAAGCACTGTAATATTTACACTTTTTCAAGCAATCAATCAAAGGCCGTTAGAACCTTGACTAACAACTAACAGCAAGCACTGTAATATTTACACTTTTTCAAAATCAATCAAAGGCCGTTAGAACCTTGACTAACAACTAACAGCAAGCACTGTAATATTTACACTTTTTCAAGCAATCAATCAAAGCCCGTTAGAACCTCAACTAACAACAGCAAGCACTGTAATATTTACACTTTTTCAAGCAATCAGTCAAAGGCCGTTAGAACTTCAACTAACAACAGCAAGCACTGTAATATTTACACTTTTTCAAGCAATCAGTCAAAGGCTTTAGAACCTCGACTAACAACTAACAGCAAGCACTGTAATATTTACACTTTTTCAAGCAATCAATCAAAGCCCGTTAGAACCTCAACTAACAACAGCAAGCACTGTAATATTTACACTTTTTCAAGCAATCAGTCAAGGGCCGTTAGAACCTTGACTAACAACTAACAGCAAGCACTGTAATATTTAAACTTTTTCAAGCAATCAATCAAAGGCCGTTAGAACCTTGACTAATAACTAACAGCAAGCACTGTAATATTTACACTTTTTCAAGCAATCAGTCAAAGGCCGTTAGAACCTTGACTAACAACTAACAGCAAGCACTGTAATATTTACACTTTTTCAAGCAATCAATTAAAGACCATCTCTTAAGTGAAGGCCAGCTGGCTGCAATGAATCTCCAACACTCTTTGTCTCTCCCCCAACTGTACATTCTCTAAGACTCCCTTGATGCTATCAACCAATTTATATTAATTGAACTGTTGTTAATATTGCACACAAACTTTTACTAAACATAACATCATAGCTTAGAAACAAAACTATGGTTAACCCCCCTCCCCAACCAAAAAAAAAAAAAAAAACTATGATTATCTGATGGTGTGTTTTTATTAGTTCATAGGAAAGCCAGTACACCTTAAAACTATCAATGACCCAAATATAAAAGAAATGCCAGTTGATTGGCTGAACCCTTAGGTTTTCTTGTATCCAGTTTGAAAAATTTAACTCCTAAATTACAAACATTTTGAATGACAAAATTATATTCTCTTCAGTAGTCATGTACTGTTTATAAAAAATATTTCTGAGAGTAAATGTTATTCACAATGTCAACTGATCTTTCAGCTAAATAAAACAGCAAGACATTTACCTGTTTTCTGACCATGCAAGTTTAGTCTCTTCTTTATGTAGTCCTTGTCATCACTGGTCAAGTAAGGTATCACGTGGTTCCATAGTGTTTGTTTGGATGGAGTGTCTAAAAAACTTTCAAGAGTCCTCAACAGACTGCTCACCTCACTTTCAGGGCAAACAAGATTCAGAGACATAAGATTGTAGGTTATATATATATATATATATATATATATATATATATATATATATATATATATATATATATATATATATATATATATATATATATATATATATATATATATATATATATATATATATATATATATATATATATATATATATATATATATATATATATATATGAAAAACACAAAGTAACTTTATTATACTCAAAGTCATGATGGGGTAGTTACTAGGTTTTGCCTGCCTGCCTGCCTGCCTGCCCAAAAGAATCTGCACAGAGTCGATTTTTCAGGTGGGTATCTGGCCAACTCGTCTATAGACAAAAATATGAATCTGGCATGATATGCCAGACGTGTGCCTGGCATAAAAAAGGGTTCTTCACAATTTTTTAAAATCCTCACTAAGTAATGTTTGTTCCCTCTGAAATGAAGCTACTGCAGCAGAAGGTGTCTTAATAGTTTTAAGATAGCCTCAATGAAACAAACTTTCCTTACTTCCATTAATAATAAATGTTTTATGGTGATTAAAGGCAGGGGTACTTCCGTGTTAAAAAAAAGGAGAAGAAGGAGGAGGAGGAAGAGAAGAAGAAGAATAGAGGTAGGGTCTTGTCTAATAATTTGATAAAATCAACACTGTCTTCATAAAGCAAGTTTTTCTTCTTCTGTCTTCACCTTAAAAGAGTGTTTAGCACATTGTGTTGTGGTTTACAGATGGACTGTAATACCTGTATCTTTTAGCCAATCACATTTCAACAAACACTAAATTAGTCATTTTGACTTCATGCTTATTGGGAGTAATGAGTCTAATCCCGCCTCCCCAAATAGAGCCCATACAAAGAAGGAAAGAAGTTCAAAAGCACTGTTTGGTCGAGCCTGTAGTTCATTACATCAAATTTCGACAATTGTCGCATGTCTTTTTTCCAAGCCACTGCCTGTCAAAAGTCTACCAGCAAGGCAGAACATTTATGTCTTTCTTCATAGGGCTTCTATTCCCTGTCCTGTCTTGTTACTTGTTGTTCGTACTGACATCCTAGCACATCAGTCAGTCCCATTCATGGTCTGTTTTCTTATACAGCAGCCATCTTGGTGTCTCCATGCTTATCGCACCCAGTAAGAGTTTACTGGCATATTTTCTTTCTTTTCCCCACAGCTGGTTCCTGCCTGCATGCTTGTCTCATTTAATACCCCTTTCCAATAGGCAGTTCATCATCTCTGACTTATTTGTCCCAACATTTCTGGAATGCAGTGCATTCAGCATGTCTGCCCTGTCCATACTTCTTCCTCCAATAACTTCTGCAGACATGACCAGTCTAGCAGCTGTTTTCTTTTCTTTCACTCCAGCATATCCTAGTGTGTGCACCTAAGATAGTTTCCTAAGGCGGGACTTCTGGAAGCTTCAATCAATTCTAGTCAGAGTTGGTCAGTTTGGATCTTCTTAAGCATGCTCATCATTATCATCATCCCGTAACACTACGTGTCTTATCAGCTCTATCCACCTTTGACGGTCAGTTGCAATGGACTTTATGGTTGCATGCCTTAGGCCTGTCTAGTCAGTCAGGTTCTGTAACCAGGTCTTTCTTGGTCTGCCTCTTCTCCTCTACTGTGCCCTGCAGTATTGTTTTTTAGAGGCCGTTAGATCTTTTTACATGTCCATACCATTGCATTTTTCGCCTTTTCACTAATCTAGTCACTAATCTACTAGTCATTAATATGTCTGCCATAGAAGACCCTCTCAGGAGCTAAAGTACAGTCAGCATAGCTCTTTGGGTCACTGCAACTCACAAATTATTCTACAATTCCAAGGCGGAGACACTACGGAGGAACAACAATAAAATTAAATAAATAAACTTACTGATTTCTCTTGTACATTTCCAAACTTTTCTTGAACTGAAACTTCTCTGCATTTGTAAGTAAAAAGTCTGCATGTTGCTCAAAAGATGGAGGAAAATCTTCTAAGTCAGGTTTGTCACTGTCAAGGTTTGCTTTTTTCTCTGCTGACATTCAAAAATAGAGAATTTTGTAAATTTAGTTTAATAATAAGAGAATTGTGTAACTCAATTATAAGAATGCCAGAACACCAATCATGCAGAAAGACACAGTGATAAGTTCTGAATAGTTCTTCTTGCCTTCTGTCTCACATGTATAGACCAAATTCAGACTCAAGTCTTACTATTAGAATAAGGCTGTTACATCACTGGAGTGTTTCCTAATTAATAACTTCTACTTTTGGGATGCCTTTAAAAGGGCAATCAGCGTGCTGCATTGTGGTTTACAACTAGACTGCTACACATCTGCACCTTTTGGCACAACAAATCTGATTTCAGCATATTTTTAATTAGTTACCTTTTACCTGTCTATGGATTAGGCGTTGCAAACATGCTTTGATCCCAGCTGCAGGCAAACTGGCATATGGGCCGCCTTGCATTAGTTTCTAAATTGGTATAGAGAGCCAACCATTCAAGAGCAATGGCAAACAACTGAACGTAAATTAGCCTAGAAAGCCACAACAGCAGAAAAATGCTAGGGTTGGATCTGCAACGTCCTGCGAAAGGACACACAACAAACTTTTTTTTTTTCAACAATATGCTTGTTAAGGGGTTGTGAGCCCTTACCTCCTTGAACTCCCCTCCCCCTCCCCCAACCCACAAAAACAAACAACTCTGAAACCAAAACTGGGATAACTTACAATAAAGCTATCTAACCTTAGGAATGATTCAGTAAAGTCCTAATCTTTGCCCTATAAGTGTAAGTATAAAGGACTCGTTTCCCCACCCTGAAGCTAGTTACATGTTGCTAGTATATTTGTATAGACCAATCTGCACTTGATAGGTGATAGTGTCAATATACTGATGGCTGCCTTGACTTTCTACAATTTGATTTTCTTCTTCTTCTTTGCGTTCATCAGTTGTAAACTCCAGCAGAAAGTTCTGGTTGTTAGTCCACATCTGGACTTTAGTCTAGTTGTAGTACTTCAGTTTTGTGTGCACATCCGTTTAACATATCTGGCTTATTTTGAATCCAGACTGTTGGTTCCTCACCTCTCTTTTATGATATGCTTGTTAGGGGGGCAGTGGTTCTATTCATCCGCACCCTTTCTTTTCAAGTCTAGCTACTTTAAGTTTTCTTCATTGGAGTTGAATAGATCAGTAAAGTTTCTTTTCTTCTAATACAGATCCACGCTTTTTCAGATAGCAAGTCCTTTGCAGAATGCCACTCATTACAGTCTGCCTGAATTGAAAGTTAGTCTCTCACTAGATCTCTCGCCTTGTGCACTTTCCTACTCATGGTGTCACTTACATCATGAATCCATTTTCATACTGGTCCCCCAGCGCCCCTCTTTCCTGGTATCATGCCTTCTGATATTATTCTTTCCAATCCGCCTTGGCATTTGATATGGCCAAAACATTCCAGTTTCCAAGACAAGATTTTTTTCTTCTTCTTCTTCTGTTCATCTTAAGACAAGATGCTGGTTACTAGCCAAATATCCTTGATGCTCAGATCTTTGAGGATCTCAGTATTTCTTTTTTTGTTTGTTTTGGTCCATGTTATGCTGACAGCCATGAATCTACACTATTGACAATCTTCTCTGCTGATCTCCATCTGACTCTCTTCACCTCTAGCTTTCTCACTGTCATGACATGATCACAATTTCTCCTTCTCATGACATGCTAAATTTGTTTTAAAACCATAACAGAACATATATACTTTATACATTCACTTATTAGTTTTCTCCTTCTTCTTCTTTGCGTTCACCAGCTGTAAGCTCTGGTAGAAAGCTCTGGTGGAAAGCTCTGGTAGAAAGCTTTGGTGGAAAGCTCTGGTAGAAAGCTCTGGTGGAAAGCTCTGGTGGAAAGCTCTGGTGGAAAGTTCTGGTGGAAAGCTCTGGTAGAAAGCTTTGGTGGAAAGCTCTGGTAGAAAGTTCTGGTGGAAAGCTCTGGTGGAAAGTTCTGGTGGAAAGCTCTGGTGGAAAGCTCTGGTAGAAAGCTCTGGTAGAAAGTTCTGGTGGAAAGCTCTGGTAGAAAGTTCTGGTGGAAAGCTCTGGTAGAAAGTTCTGGTGGAAAGCTCTGGTAGAAAGTTCTGGTGGAAAGCTCTGGTAGAAAGTTCTGGTGGAAAGCTCTGGTAGAAAGTTCTGGTGGAAAGCTCTGGTAGAAAGTTCTGGTGGAAAGCTCTGGTAGAAAGTTCTGGTGGAAAGCTCTGGTAGAAAGCTCTGGTGGAAAGCTCTGGTGGAAAGCTCTGGTAGAAAGCTTTGGTGGAAAGCTCTGGTGGAAAGTTCTGGTGGAAAGCTCTGGTGGAAAGTTCTGGTGGAAAGCTCTGGTGGAAAGCTCAGGTGGAAAGCTCTGGTAGAAAGCTCTGGTAGAAAGCTTTGGTGGAAAGCTCAGGTGGAAAGCTCAGGTGGAAAGCTCTGGTGGAAAGCTCTGGTAGAAAGCTCTGGTAGAAAGCTCTGGTAGAAAGCTCTGGTAGAAAGCTCTGGTAGAAAGCTCTGGTGGAAAGTTCTGGTGGAAAGCTCTGGTAGAAAGCTCTGGTAGAAAGCTCTGGTAGAAAGCTCTGGTGGAAAGCTCTGGTGGAAAGTTCTGGTGGAAAGCTCTGGTAGAAAGCTCTGGTAGAAAGCTCTGGTAGAAAGCTCTGGTAGAAAGCTCTGGTGGAAAGTTCTGGTGGAAAGCTCTGGTAGAAAGCTCTGGTAGAAAGCTCTGGTAGAAAGCTCTGGTGGAAAGCTCAGGTGGAAAGCTCTGGTGGAAAGTTCTGGTGGAAAGCTCTGGTGGAAAGTTCTGGTGGAAAGCTCAGGTGGAAAGCTCTGGTGGAAAGCTCTGGTTGGAAGTTCTGGTTGTTCATTCGCTTCAGGGCATTAGCCTTGTTCCAGAACTTGATTTTGTGTGTGCCTATCTGGTTCAAAGATCTGGCTTATTGTATGCAGACTTTTGGTTTCTTAGGCAGATGCTTTTCGACTGCAAAAGAGTATTAGTTTTCAAAAGCACTAACAAAGAACAAATTCATACCATGTCTGACATCTGAAGGGTCGTCTCCTGAATTGACAATACCTGATTAGAAAGAGCAGTCTGTTATATTAGAAGGAAAATACATTTACGTATAACTTTACATAATACAAATGTACTATCTCATGAATGAATGGTATAAGAGTATGAGACTGTCCCATTTTCTGTGTATGTGGCGTCACTTACAAAAGAAAGAGAGAGAGAGAGAGAGAAAATCAAACAGCGAGAGAGAAGGCATATACAGGTATAATGTTTGATTTCTTTATCTCTTCAGTTGCATCTACAAATCTACAGCAACCCTTTTAGTGTCTTTGCTAATGAGTAGATTTATTCAACATTAAATAATTTTACACTGAGCAAATAAAACAGATTTGTATATGTAAACAGATTATATATATCCTACAAATTTTTTTAATGTAACTATTAGGCTGGGATCCACCATGGTGAAGCAGCTAGACACTCGCCTGCAGATCTGAAGGTAGTGGGTTCAGGTCTTGAAAGTCAGGCTTTTTTTTTTTCTCCTCCAAAAATGAAGATATCTCCCTAGTCGACCCAGCTATAAAATGGATACCAGGTAACCTCCTGAGAAGTAAAGGCAGCCGGCATGATGCTGACAACATCACCTACCAAGAGACAACTGGTCTATAAAATATAGATCTAGAACTATTTTCCCAATACCCCTAAAGGCGTAAAAACAAGGGTCTTTTACTTTACCATGAGGCTGGTTAAAATACTTTCAAACATTCAAAGTACACATTAAAACCAGAAATAGCAGTTATTAAAGCAAAGATATGCACAGAAGAAGAAGATTCAAGCAAAATAATAATATAATGGGGAAGCAACAAGTGTAAAAACAAACTGGACTGAATGTGCTGTCTTACCCATTAGAATATCAAAAGGTATGTTGACATGATGTGATACATATTCTCTATGAGGGGTCGATAGCAAGACAAATACAAAAGTCCACAACATCCTTTTCGAAGGAGCATCTAAGATGGCGGAAACGGAACGATGCAGTTCAATGATGTCTCTGGAAAAATAAGGAATTATTTTAGTAAACTTTATGTCGTGCACTTGTTTGTTTGTTTAAATGCAAAAAAATATACCTTTGATCTACTGACTAAAGCTATAATAGTGGTTCCCAAACAACTGGTAGTCCTCCCTCTGCCGGGTCTATGGAGCAAATTTAAGGGGTTGTCCATGATATCATTTAGAAAAAGATGGGAAAGCTAACCCAGGCAACAAATGTTTGCATAAGTCGGATGTGTCAATTAAAAGGCACAAATATCACAGTGATGTTGTAAACGGGCCCATCTTCTGATGTTTTTTTTTTTAAATATGTGACTATTAAAAAGTAAGAAATAAGATAATTCCCAAGAGACTTGTGAACTTTTTCATTAGAATAGTTAAACTTAATTGCCTTGACTTCTATGTCAAAAACAACATAGTGAATTAAAATGTAGAGCCACTAGTTTCATGACACCATTCTGATGTTGTCTCACCCTAGACCCATTTCCTTATGTACTTCTGTTGCAGATTATGGGGAAAATTACATTACAGGTCATCCCCATGTGGGTTCCAGGGCCCTATTTTGTGTGTGTGTGTGGGGGAGGGGGGTGGAAGAATAGACCCACTGCCTCCTAATAAGCATATCGTAATAGGTGACTAATTAAAGGTATTTTATTTAAACTCGGAGTGCATCTGCCTGAAAGGCAAGGAACTAACAGTCTGCACATAATTAAGCCAGATCTATAAAATGGATGTGCATGCAAAATCAAAGTTCTGGAACAAGACTAGAATCCAGAATTGGAAGAACCACCAAAGCTTTCGGCCGGCGATCACGAAGAAGAAGATTACAGCACCTAAATTTTTGTTCGGAATAACAACATCTGTCAGCGATTTGTGAAATTTTGTTCTCTGTGTCATGTCCTAGTTATATTCTCTCTTTCTCTCTCTCCTTCCCCCTTCCTCTCACACACACTCTCACTCTCTTTCTCATACTCTCTCTCTCACTTACATAAAAACACTTACACACAGAAGAAGAAGAAGGAGAAGAAGAAGAAGTATCTTTTTAATTAGTTATAATATCTAGCTTCAATTGGTCATTTCATGTTTGTAAACAAATGTTTATGATTACTTTTTAATGATATAATTCCTTATAGCTCTCTTCAGAATGTTCTGCTCTTTTGGCGTCAAGAGAAACTGAGCCTATAAAAGCGAAAGAAAAAAAAAAGAAAATGTGATTACCTGAGTGACTGGCTCACAGAATGCACATAACATAATAAAGAAATTAACTTATCATTCAGCATTAACCTGGATTAAAGCCATATTCGGTCCAAACATACAAAGAACATTGTCACTAAAAGCTAACTTGCTGGCACAGACTGCAGGCTGTATTACTGTTTACAGGTAATACAACAGAACAAAGGGAAGAACAATGGATTTGTAGAAGCAAATGAAATGACATCTTTTTGCCAAAAACATTAATATAGTGTTCAACAGAAGTTAATCAATGAATTTGTAGAAGCAAAGGCAAATGAAATGACATCTTTTTGCCAAGAACATTAATTTAGTGTTCAACAGAAGTTAATCAAGGGATTTGTAGAAGCAAAGGCAAATTAAATGACATTTATTTGCCAAGAACATTAATATAGTGTTCAACAGAAGTTAATCAATGAATTTGTAGAAGCAAAGGCAAATGAAATGACATCTTTTTGCCAAGAACATTAATATAGTGTTCAACAGAAGTTAATCAATGAATTTGTAGAAGCAAAGGCAAATGAAATGACATCTTTTTGCCAAGAACATTAATATAGTGTTCAACAGAAGTTAAACAAGGGATTTGTAGAAGCAAAGGCAAATTTAATTACATCTATTTGCCAAGAACATTAATATAGTGTTCAACCGAAGTTAATCAATGGATTTGTAGAAGCAAAGGCAAATGAAATGACATCTTTTTGCCAAGATCATTAATATAGTGTTCAACAGAAGTTAACAAAAAACCTATATCTTTGTCTCACAGACTTCACAAAGGATTAAATAAAGAAGACACACTGACATAATAAAATATTCTTCTTCATGGCTAAGAAGTTATGCCATTTGGTTGGTGCTCTAGAGGATGTGGATTTATTTCACTGAGTTGTTCAATTTACAAGTACAATTTTTATGGAGATCGCTGATGATCACTGCTGGAGCTACAGAGTCTGAGCTTTATGTGCTTTTGTGTGATGCCTTTGACAGATGGCTAGCCATTCTGCAGAGAGAGAGGAGAGAGAGACAGACAGACAGAGACACAAGGGGTACAAAGAAAGAAAGACAGGGAGCTTGCAGACCTCCAAACTGATGGGAAAGGCTTTTAAAGAACATATATTTAAAATAAATACCGGTACTAAAAGTTAGAAGAAAGAAAAAAAAAGTAGATCAATATCAGTCGAGCAAGATATCTTTTCTTTTATATACTAGAAATATTATAAGAACTTTAAAAGATGGAGGAATAATCACTGAAGAACACATGCAATGGTTCCACATTGTTGTCATAGCTGGGGGAGGGGGGGGGGTGAGCTCTTAACTCCCACCAAATACCCCTAAGGCATGTGCATTCATCTTCTACAAAAGAAAAAGTCCTGTCCTTCTTTTGACAGATTTGTGTTTAAACAAACACCAGTAGAAAAGGGGAGGGGGGAGGCGGCTCGAGTATGATCATAGTCTACCTAAGCAAAAATAGGTAATGAAAGGGGAGGCAACCAGCCAAGAGGCGCCCAACAGCAATCAGGATACCACACACATATGCCATGGTAAAATGTCAAAGTCAGCAAAAAAAGTATAGTGTTGGCCCTGTGATGGACTCTCAGGCAGGAGCAGTGCCGACCCCTCTGCCTCGAACAAGCCCAACTCAAAATCATGGAGGTCCTTCTCAGATGTCGTATGGAACCAAGATCATGAGAACGGAGCAACTGCCCAAACCAAAAATGGAGTAAAGAACAATTGTGGACAGTAAACTCTAAATGAACTAAAAACAACAGTAAAATTTATACAAGAGACAAAACTGCTGTTACAGGCAACTTATTTCAGGCAAACAAAAGAAGAAAAAAAGGAAACATAAGCACTAATAAAAAGTTTTCAACTGCAGTAAGAAAAAAGTTAGTATTCAAGTGCTTTACGTAACCTACAATGCTGTACACACGGGAAATGTGAAAACTAATCAGACAAATTGATAAACATCTAATGGCAGTGGAAATGTGGTTTCTAAACAAATTGCAAGAAGACATAATGAATGGGCAGAAAATAAATGAGTCAGTCCTCCCGGAAATAGAAAACTATTGTAGATTTAATCTAAGAAATAGGCCACAAGCATGTTTTAGGGATGTTATAAGGAGAAAGCAACATGAAAACTTAGTGACAACTAGCACATGGAGTGGGGGAGGGGGTAATTGACAAAGAGATAAATACCTGGACCGGTTTGGCTACATAATCTGGACAAGAATACAGACCTAATTCAAGACTCTGTTGATGGATAGATTGACAAACCTGCATCATTTGTGCTTTTAACGAGGCACCAGATGACAATAATGTCTTGTTCATGTAGGTGGGTAATGTGTAGGCAGTCTACATGTCTTGTAGCTGCAGGTAGGTAATGTGTAGGCATAGTCTATGTCCTATATCTGCAGTAGGTAATGTGTAGGCATAGTCTACATGCCTTGTAACTGCAGGTATGTAATGTGTCGGCATAGACTACATGTCTTGTAACTGCAGATATATAATGTGTAGGCACAGTCTATGTCTTGTACCTGCAGGTAGGTAATGTGTAGGCATAGTCTAAATACCTTGTACCTGCAGGTAGGTAATGTGTAGGTATAGTCTAAATACCTTGTACCTGCAGGTAGGTAATGTGTAGGTTAGTTTTCGTATCCTTTGCAGGATGTTGCAGAACCAACCCCAACAGCTCCTGGCTGTTGTCTGGTTTTTCTAGGCAAATTTAGGTTAAGTAGTTTGCCATTGCTTCTGGACGGTCGGCTTTCTTGATACCACTGTCGAAACCAATGCAAGGCACATGGCCCACAGCTGGGATCGAACCCAGCATCCCGGCATTATGAAGCGTTCGCATCGACTTAGCCACAGAGCCGACAGGTAATGTGTAGGCATAGTCTAAATACCTTGTACCTGCAGGTAGGTAATGTGTAGGCTTAATCTAAATACCTTGTACCTGCAGGTAGGTAAAGTGTAAGCATAGTATACAAGCCTTGCACCTGCAGGTAGGTAATGTGTAAGCATAGTATACATGCCTTGTACCGGCAGGTAGGTAATGTGTAGGCAGTCTTCACGCCTTGTTCATGTCTGCAGTAGGTAATGCGTTGGCAAAGTCTACATGCCCTGTACCTGCAGGTAGGTAATGTGCCTGCAAAGTCTACATCGCTTGTACCTGCAGGAAGGTAATGTGTTGGCATAATCTACATGCCTTGCTCATGTCTACAGTGTTAGCAGAAAACACATCAGTAGTCTTAGTATTAGTTGAGGTTTCAACTTCACTGTAATCGGGTTTCCCCATACTTGCTCCGTTCCCGTGCAAGTGAAAATAAAATGAAATGTCCCTCACTATCTCCACTGAAAAACAGGTGAACAAACAATCAGTCCTGGAACAATCCAGAAATATGTGCACACAGTAAATGCACATGGCAGTTGCTAGAGGTGCCAAAGTCAACAGTCACCACCAGAAATGCAGTTTGTGGTTGATGGAAGTAGTCAGACATGATAAGTTGGCTATGCACAATTACTGTATCAGTAGGTAGTATTATAAAGGTACTAATTCAAACTGAACCAGTAGCATAATTACCTTTTCAGTAAAAGTGTTTCCATCCTTATCTGTGATAGCGCCACCAAAAAGAATGTTGTCTACCGAACTGTGACTTGATAAAGAGGATGATGATGACACTGTGCTGTTACTGCTACTTGCCGCTGAAGTAAAAATATTGTTTAATAATGTTTACACAACCTGGCATCAGAAAATGCTAAGCATGAGCTCCCACACTGTGAACTGTATAATGCTAACAGAGAAAAATCTGACCTGTAAATTAAAATATAAATCAAGACAGAGCTGTGTGGCACACAGAGAGATTTAGACTAGAGGATAGCCTGCACAATAGCTTTCATCGAGGCTATCTGCCTCCTGGTATACATTTTCTGTCAGAACGATTGAAGAATGTTTATACACAATGTATCGGTTATCAGAAAAGAAAAAAATACATTTACATAATCACACATCTCTGTTGTTCACTTCTAAAAAGGGATAGGCTGACTTGCCATGAATTAGCTGGCTGAGGGCCTCATTAGAGATTATAGTGTAACAGGCTGGTGGGATATGTTTAGCCTGTTAACAATCTGGGTTTGGCTACACTTGCGAACTAAAACTGGCAGGTCTGTAGATTGGGATTCTCTGAAAGTGGACAGTGAGTCGACATAGGCTGATATAATGCCTAGCGCAGCAGAAAAGGATATCTTTGCTCTTTGGTCTCGCCAGTCACCCGAATGGCATGCTGTCCTGCTATTATTGTGGAACTGTACAGGGTTCTTAGCGCAACGTAGGTACGGTGGACTGAGTCAAGACAGATGAACTGGCTCACTAGATTATACTGTTTATGTATATTTACAGCAAGCTAAAGAAATCTGACAATATATTTGTTTATTTACAAGATGTGCACATTTGGCTCATGTGAAAGTAAATCTTTTTATTTTGTTGTTATCATCATTACCCCAGTGGACAGCTGCTGTCACCTTCTGGAATTCAATACATTAAAAAATATCCAAATGTTCTCTCTCTTTAAATTCTGTTTAAATGTCATTGAAATTTAAAAAGAATAATTAAAAACAACACAAATGTAATACATTCATGATGCTGCAAGTACCTTTTCCACATCTTAGTACTTCTAAAGTTGGGGACGATCCACTGTCTCGTAGAAGCTCTATCAGTCTGTCATGATCAGTCTCTCTAATAAAACACAAGCAATATACATTTAGCACTACTGTAAGCATCGCATCATTTACTCTACTTATTGATTAACTTCAGATATTATTGCAAGTACCTCTTTAACATGAATTTCAAGGAAAATCAAGCTAATCAGGTATACTTGACATACAGGGCCAGACCTATATTTTATTAACCTCGGTGGGTGATGTAGTCATCATCATGCCGGCCGCCTTTACTTCCCCGAACTATACCTGGTACCCACTCGGTAATTTTTGAAAAAATTCAGGGTCTGTCAGGACTTGAACCTACAATCTTCCGATCCGCAGGCGAGCGTCTTGGCGCTACACTATGGCGGCTCCCAGGAATTCCAAGGGATAGGACACAATTTTAAAGTTTGTGATAAAATACTGGGAACTTATAATACATCCTTGCTGGGACAAAAATTTGGTTTATGTTAACTAAGTGTTTTTGTTAAGCGAGTTTATGTTAACGAGGTTTCACTGTATTAATATTAGTGTCTTTCTGTCACTATGGAGCAAAAACTGTTAATTAACTCCAGCGAAATCCTCTTATCTTCTTTTATCTGTTTAAATTCTTAAACGGCATCTCCAGCAGTATGTTATAGTGCATTTTAAAAGTCATGTCCTCACACCTTACCAGTTATCTCGAAAACTTCTGCACCAATCAACACACATTTTTGCATGTGGTCAGATTTTCTATATCCTTAGGATTTTATAATTTACAGCTGCACGGGTGTTGAAGTTTTCTTAAAGTAGCGAAGGAAGTCAATAAGTAAGTCACAAATGGTTATTTGATGGCAGGAAAAATGTAGTTGGTGGTTTCTAAAGGTGTCATTAGGTCACAGAAACATCAAACTTTATGTCTCTGTTTGTTATGTGACACTAGGTGTTGCATGCACATGCGCAACACAGGAACAAAATTTTTACTGTACTTAGGGAGTGCACCCTCAAAGAACAACGTGCTGCTATGTTGCTCCTTTTTGAGGTGGGAGGGGGTGGCAAAAGGGCTGCCTGCAAAGGACATTCGTAAGGAAATGTTTATGCTGACAAATGTTTATCCCATAAAGCAGTGCATAGCTGGGGTAAAGAGTTTTTCTTAAGGGGCTCTAGGATTGTTGATGAAGTCCAATCTGGTCGTCCTGTTGAGATTGCAACAGAGGCATCTGTGCAGCAAGTGGCGGGAATGATTAGAGGTGATAGGCGAGTAACGGTTGACTCTGGAGCAGATGCAATAGGGTGCTCATATGGTTTTTGGTCCACTGAAAACCCACTTTGGTGTGAGACATTTCGCGAATTATGCAGAAGTTGAATGTAAAGTGAAAATTTTGTGTAGAAAAACAGAGCATGCAGTTCTATGCTGCAGGTCTGGGAGGACTGATAAAACGATGAGAACCAGTGCATCAATGTTGCTGGAAATTATGTTAACAAATAAAGGTACAGTGTATGTGTAAAAATTAATGGTTTTCAAGTTGTTATCGCCTTCAGTTGATTTTGTCTTTTTGTGTGTGTTTTTTTTAAACATTTGTGACTTGCTTATTGACTTTCCCTTGTGTGTGATCTTTGCTTGACTAAATTGTGTACCTCTTAAAAAACAGAACACACAGTACATAACACATTTGTTTCAAAATCAGTTCACATGTGCAGCATGGTGATTATTTTGGGGTAAGTCAGGGGTAAGTTATAAATTAAGTACCAATATTTTTTCTTTGTTATTACCATTGTGTTTTTTCTTCCCCACTTTAAAACTTAACTTTATATACAAACATTCATCATCATCATCATGTGCCCTGCCAACTGGCGTAAGCGCTCATGCGTCTCCAAAGATCACAATCCCTGGTTGATTGGAACAGCTCTCTTGATGATGTCCCTCCATGCCATTGTTTTGGCCCATCCAGCATCATCTCTCTTGGTCTGCCTCTACCCCTTTTTCCACTGATCTTTCCAGTTGTCACGATGTTCTCCAATGTCTCTCTTCATACAAACATTACCAAATAAAAATTTAAAAAAACAAGAAACCAAGACATGCACCTGACATCTATGCCATTCAACTTGATGAGGTAGTCCCCTGCCTGAAGACCTGCCTTCTCAGCAGCCCCTCCTGGATCGACTGACTCTATGAATGCAGGGCAGCTGGATCTAATAACAAAACCAAAACTGTCTGCTTCCCGCACCACTTGAAATACCCTTGTGTACATAAGAGAGAAGCACAGCAATGAACTGTTGAGATACAGCATATATCCAGAAATTCAAATAATGTAATAATGACTGATCATAAATATTGTTAATGTTCTATACACTATTCTGTGTGCATCATGAATCAAGAAGAGGATACATACTGAAATTCTTCAGTCTTTAACAATAAGAGGGGCCTGACGCGCTAGCTAAGTTGGTTAAACAAGCTGTGCAATCACCGGGTGATAAACTCCTTGTGGCTTGCGTTCATGTTGGAGGTGGGCAGAAAAGCCACATATTTCCCAGACTTATGTATCTATAATGGAATCAAGGCCAAAGGTTTGCGATATCAACAGCACCGAGCCAAAGGATTTACTACTCATGGTTTCTATATTTAAAAAAAAAAAACATTATTGGGAAATGACTCATAGACAGTATTGCTTTTCAAAAGCTTAAATACTTCAGCTTTCTGAACCAAAAGTTTTAATGTGTGATATGGAAGGTGAAGAAAAAACCTAATGAAAAATCGCAAATTAAATAGTAGTGACCATTTGGGGAAAGCAGATTTCTTTAGTGTGTTCTGAGGAAATGTATAAAATAATTAATATTGCGTTCAGTGAATTCAAGCAACTTCAGTAGAATGATAAAATGCAAATGCATCAAACAGTGTGAAAATCAAGTCACATAAATTCTCTATATTTTGTTTTCTTCTTTCTTCTTTGTCCACTGGCTGTAATCTCCAGCAAAAAGTCCTGGTATTTCAGCCATTTGGACTTTAGCTTTGTGCCAGGGCATGAATTTGGCGTGCACATCCATTTTTACTGGCTTTTTTGTATGTAGTTGGTGGTTCCCTGCTGCTCAAGCAGATGCACTCTGACTTTGAAAAAAAGTCCCCAGTTAGTGGACTCCTACGACATGCTTGTTGGGAAGGCAGTGGGCCTATTGTTGTTTTCCCTCCCAATGGGGAACCCATCAAAAAGAAGCATATCTTGAGAACATACTTTCTGTGTCCCAAATGATGTGCAATTTCAGCAGACACCGTACCAGTAGAGTCATTGTTCAGAGGCATCAGCTGAGATCTGTTGAAGCTCATCAGTTCATCAAACTGTGGCCTTTTTACAGGTGGTATGAGAAGTCTGCAATTATGTACACAGTATTTTAGGATACAGGGTCAACAGGTCAAATTATTTTCCATTTGAAATAAACAAACAAATATCTTCTTCTTCTTTTTCTCTTCCACCTTGTACCTCATCGAAGTGTCGGGGGGAGATGTAATGTTCGTTGATGGGCTCTGTCAAGAGCACGATTGAGACTGATGTTCATTTCTGTAAGACTGTTCTTAATGTCATCACTCCATATTTTCCTAGGTCTTCCACTCGCTCTATACCCGTTGTAACGTTTTAGTGTGGCTCGCTGTGGGGGATAGTACCAGGGCATTCTTGTTAGGTGTCCAAACCACTTGTTGTTCTTTGATGACCTGTAAGACTGGCTTTATTCCTAGCATTCGTCTGATTTCATGATTTTGTATTCTGTCTTTCCTTGAAACTCCTGCAGCTCTTCTAAGGCATTTCATCTCTGTTGTCACAATTTTACATTCATCGGAGGACGTAAGTGTCCACGTTTGGCATTGATAGCATAGTGTTGGCCAAAAAATAGTTCTGATAAGATTCACTTTAGTACTCTGAGGTATCTGCTTGTGTGTCAACAGGGGAGATAGTTGACCCATTACTTGATTAGCTTTGGCACATCTGGAGCTAATTTCTCTGTCCAGTTTTCAGTCAGATGTAAAAATTGCTCCCAAATACTTAAATTCCTCTGTTTGTCTCAGGGTGTTTTTTTTTAAATTTAATTTCTAAATTGTCTTTACGTCTTCCTATCATCATTGTCTCTGTCTTCGTAGTGTTTATTTTCATATTATATTCCTCCCCTTTGTTACTAATTTAAGTGGTTCTGTAGGCATTCCGTATTTTCTGCTATGAGTACCTGGTCATAGGCGAAAAGTAATTCTGAAATATCTTCTTCATGATTAAAGTTTGTTTCGCTACATATAGTATCCATGTATGTTATAAAAAGAAGCGGCGATAGTACACACCCCTGACGCACACTAGAGTTCACTATAAAAGTTCTTGACAACCCTGCCTTCGATCTTATGCAGCATTTACTAAGTGTGTACAGGCTTTTGCAAATATTAATGAGATGATTGCTGATTCCTTTTTTTCCCCATACATTCCCACAACATATTCCTGTCGACTCTATCAAAGGCTTTTTCTTGGTCTATGAATGTCAACAAACATGTCTTGTCATGTTCTATTGCCCTCTCTGATAGGTGTCTCAATGTATAAATGGCATCTGTGCAACTTCTGTTCCGTCAAAAGCTCATCTGTGCTTCTGGAAGTTGATACTCTATCAATGGTCTCAGCCTTTTTTCGATGATCTTAGCATACATTTTCCCAGTGTGACTGAGAAGTGATATTCCTCTGTAATTAGTACATTCCCTCTTACTTCCTTTATTTTTCCACGGCGGGACAATGACAGCAGTCTGCCAATCTGATGGCGTTTCTTGATTTTCCCATGCCACCTGAAATATTCTCTTTAACCATATACAAACAAATATACTCCACTTAAATCTTGAGTGCCAAGATTTCACCTTGCTTCTGGTGGATGTGTCAACGGAATCTCACTACAGCACTGGACTTGTAATCTCTGTCTGGTCCATGGAATGTTGACATCTCCCATAGTGCCTCTTGAACTTTTTCAGACCAAGTTAGGTACTGCTGTAAAGCTCTTCTTCTTCTACTTCTTCTTCTTTGCCTTAAAAGGCTGTAAACCCCGGCAGAAAGTTCTGGTTATTCATCCACTTCTGGACATTTGTCATGTTCTAGAACTTTAGCTTCGAATGCACATCCATTTTACAGATATGGCTTATTTGTGTGTAGATTAATGGTTCCTCATCTCTCAGGCAGATGCACTCAGACTTTAAAGGAAACATGATTTAGTTGCCTTTTACACCATGCTTGTTTATGGGGCAGTGGGTCTACTCTTGGTTGCCTAAAAAAAATGCCCCGGAATTCATAAGGGATCTGTGAAGTTCAACTTCTTGTGGAAAGATGGAGTAAAGTAACAGCAGCTGGGGAATAAAGGAGTTAAATTAAGTGCAATGGGTCTGTTTGCCTCCAAAATAAGGTCACGGAACTCACACATGGTATAAATAATAATATCTTCTTCTCTTTCTCCCTGGCAGAGCCATACCTTTTTCAAAAATGACCTTGGCTCCCAGGTCGACCCAGCCTTGAGTGGGTACAGGGTGCAGTCCCAGGAAGTAGAAGCGGCCAGCATGATGCTGACCAAATCACCAATCTTGCACCGATTGGTCTATGAAAGTTAGGTCTAGCCCTATGTGCCCTATACGCTTTAAGGCTTGGAAAAGGGTCTTTTACTTTTTACTTCTCCTTCTTCATCTTCTTCTTCTTCTTCTTCTTCTTCTTCAGTATTCCGAGCCTTTGAGGTTCAATGCTGCAGATATCACCTGCCTTCATCTCCCTGGTCTATCTGAAATCGAGGCTTAGATATCTGTTTCATGACAAAATTAACTTTTACAAATGTGGAAGAGTGTTGAACTCATATTTTAACCCCCAACCTAGAGGAAAAGGGTGTCTCTGACCTGTCCAGCTTGGGGGGATATATAACAATATAATAACCTTATATGTGTCAGGACATTTCTCTGGGATTTAGTGTCCAGAACATCATTGAGAGCACCACAGAGAATCACCATATTTCTATCCTCTGCATACTGCTTCAAGGCTGCCACAACAGACATCTTTCTTCTGTAGTCATTACCAAGCAGAATCTCCAACTGAAAAACAATATATAATTAATCACAGAACATAACAAAATGTTGACATGTGATAACATATTTAAACACAGAACATAACAAAATGTTGACATGTGATAACATATTTAAACACAGAACATAACAAAATGTTGACATGTGACAACATATTTAAACACAGAACATAACAAAATGTTGGCATGTGATAACATATTTAAACACAGAACATAACAAAATGTTGACATGTGATAACATATTTAAACACAGAACATAACAAAATGTTAACATGTGATAACATATTTAAACACAGAACATAACAAAATGTTGACATGTGATAACATATTTAAACACAGAACATAACAAAATGTTGACATGTGACAACATATTTAAACACAGAACATAACAAAATGTTGGCATGTGATAACATATTTAAACACAGAACATAACAAAATGTTGACATGTGATAACATATTTAAACACAGAACATAACAAAATGTTAACATGTGATAACATATTTAAACACAGAACATAACAAAATGTTGACATGTGATAACATATTTAAACACAGAGCATAACAAAATGTTGACATGTGATAACATATTTAAACACAGAACATAACAAAATGTTGACATGTGATAACATATTTAAACACAGAGCATAACAAAATGTTGACATGTTATAACATATTTAAACACAGAACATAACAAAATGTTGACATGTGATAACATATTTAAACACAGAACATTACATGTTGACATGTTATAACATATTTAAACACAGAACATAACAAAATGTTGACATGTGATAACATATTTAAACACAGAACATTACAACATGCTGTTATGTTACAACAACTACTTATAAGTTTTAGTTTTGAAAGGCAGGAAGGTTAACTTTAATATGCCTGGTATTAACCTATATACATAGCTCAGTCTACATCAGCAGAGCAAAATGTCATGAACGTGTTGCATGGAGGAGGAAAGAAAAATTAGGAATACAATAGAAATAAAGGAAAAATGATTACAGATAGGCCAAAAGCTGAGTATCTGAGAAGTACAATAAATACATGTGAAGGCAACAATGGTCCTGAAATCCCATGCTCTAACCGTGGAAGACTTTTTTTAATGTGGGTAGGTCTTGCTAGTCCCACTCGCCATTGCCATAGGCTGATTCTCATGCCTCCCCATTGCACAGTATAACAGTCATTTTTCTTTTCTTTCACTGAGCTTTCTAATTATTTTCTGCCTTGTTCTTGCTCATTTCTCATTCTCAGATTGAATGCAGTCATACCTGTTCACAGTTGGATTAATCAGTTTTTGTTTTGAGGTTACTGACTTCAAAAATTATATAGTGGCCATTAGAATTACGTTGGAATATTTAATGTTAAAGCAGCAATGCTGCTTTTAGGTTCCATTCACTAACTGACATTTGCTGGTCTTACAATGTGTCTCTTATGTGTGTTAATGTGATGATACCAAAATGCAGCGACATGCATAATTCCTACGGTGTCTGTTCATAAACAAATATTTTAAATGTTAAATTAAGAATCAGCATTATGGCACTAAGGACATTCCCACAAGCGCTCTGTATCTATCTTCAGCAGCAAGCACATAGTTTCACAGGTGCCAGAATCCAGCTCAGCCCCCTCCCCCCCCCCCCCCCCAAAAAAAAAAAAAAAAAAAAAAAAATAGAGTAAACTCTATTTTTTAAGCAACGACACTTGAGATAGTACTCCGGTATATGGTCGGCTCTGAGTCTGTCCTATCTTGAAATAGCACTTAGCATGCCAGGCTAAATTGGGTTTAAGGATTATTGGAAAAGAATGTCAGAAGTTGTTGACAGAGGGGACAGAACCTCAGCGCTCAGGTCCCTGAAGCAAGCTCCTCCCTCCCACCCCCAATCATTTTTTTTAAGACCCCTTGTAATAACATGAAATGCACAAATACTTTAAGAGGTAATTTATACACTATACTATACATATCTTTCTCATTGTGGGGGAAAAAAGAATAGGCCCAACGCCTCCCTAAAAAGTATGTCATAGGACTCAACTAATTAGGAGTTTCCTTCGGAGTCGAAGTGCATCTGCCTGAGAGGCAAGGAGCCAAAAATTTGCAAACAAATAAGCCGGATATGTAAAATGGATGTGCAAATAAAAATCAAGTTCTGGAACAAGAAATGGAGGAAGTGGATCCAGAAGTGGATGAACAATCCTAATCCAGAAGTGGATGAAACAACCAGAACTTTCAGCCAGAGTTTACAGCCAATGAACGCAAAGAAAAAAAGAAGATATACAAGGCTAAAAGGGGGCATCTCAAACCTCTTTCAAAATTATTTGGCGGGGGTCTCAGTCCCCCTTCATTTACATTTCGAAAAAAATTTTTGGGTGAGAGCACTCAAAGATCTGAGACACCCCACAATTACCCAATTAAGTGCCTAGAAAATTTAAAAAGTGGTGATGGTTTATTCAGGGGGAGAAGGTGGGGTAAAAAGGGGGAAGGGGCAAGGTTTCGGGTTCTCTAATGATTTCTTACTTTATTCAGGAGAGGAAGTTGGGGGAGGGGGGGGGGGCAGGGTTTCGGGTTCTCTAATGATTTCTTACTTTATTCAGGAGAGGAAGTGGGGGGGGGGGGGGGGAGGGGGGAACGGTTTCGGGTTCCCCAAATGTTCACTACTTACTTTACTCAGGGAAGGAGGAGGGAGGATGAGGGGTCTGAACCCACAATCAATTTTTGGCTAGAGGAGGGCGTGGTTGAGTTGGGGTGGAGGTCACCTGCCCAAAATTTTTTTTAAATAGAAACATTAAATTTCCAATATTAAAAAATGTCTTTACACTGGAACCATCAGCAACCTAGAAATAAAAGCAACCCCCCCTCCCCCCCCCCCCCCCCCCCAAAAAAAAAACTGCTCTCCTCCTAACCTCGTCCCCATATTATGGCGGCTAAACAAATACCCTAACAGGGCTTCAGTCATGTGTAAAATGAGGATTTCCTCCAACGAACACATCGCGGCAAAACTAGGATTACTGTCCGTTGACAATTTTGAGAAACGCAACAATACACACGATAATAGCGACACGGCTGGGAGACCCCGAGCTCCGATACAGGTTAGCGATACTGTTTTTCTGATTAATCTCACCGCCGAGTGTATTCTCCGTGCCGCTAAGTGCGCACAGATGGGGGGCGAAACTCGATGGCTGGGACTCACGAGCAGCAGCTACAGCATCTCCTGCAACTTCCTCTAATTTATTTGCTTGTGAGTACCGGCCATCTAGTTTAGCCCCCCATCTGCGCGGCGCGTAGCAGCGCGGGGGATACTGTCTGCGGTGGGGCATAGTCGCAGAATCAGGTCCGCAGTTAACATATCGTTGAAACCCTGTTAGAGTATTTTTCGCCCTCGATAATATTGGCTCGTTATTCGAAGGCAATCCTAGTTTTGCCGCGATGTGTTCGTCGGAGGAAGTCCGCATTTTACACACGACTGAGGCCATGTTACTAGGGTATTTGTTTAGCCGCCATAATATGGATACGAAGTTCGGAGGAGAGTCAAAAAAACATTGAGAAGGGAACTGGAGAGTGAACTTCAAAAGATGGGGAGAATCTGGGCTAAGCTACAGGTTTTAGCAAAGGATAGAACGACCTGGCGTGAGTTGACTGACGTCATATGCTTCAATGAGGGATAACAGGCAGAAGAAGAAGCCAATGTAGAAAATGTTGAAGAAAAAAAAAAAAAATGAAAACTCTTAAAATGAAAATGCAAAGCAAAACACCAAGAATTTCAGGAAATATTCATAAATAAGACTTTAAGATCACTGAAGGATTTAGTTACCATTGTTGACTGTTTAAAAATTTGAGTACATAGCGTAATTATCCGTGATGTCAACAGTGCTCGCAAACATTTTATGTTTGTGTCTGTCAGATTGAGGTGGATGGCCATTTTCGGTTTTTCGTATTTTATCTGTTCTGTAGTTGAATTAGTAAAAATGTTGCAACGGAACAAATTTCATAAAATGTTGCAACGGAATCAATTTCATAAAATGTTGCAACAGAACCAATTTCATAAAATGTTGCAACGGAATCAATTTCATAAAACTATAGTCATCATTCACCAAATGAGCTTCCCGTTTGAGCACCCCTTGCCAATCATGTCGCAAGAGGAGTCACGGTTTCGCTGATATCGGCTATGTTAGGTCTTCTTTTTACTCTTCTTCATACTTTGTGCGTTGGCAATCGCGTTCCTCCGCATCCTTCTTTCTAGTGTACATCCAATCATTTCCAGTACAGATACTCTAAATTTACTGCCATAATATCAGACAGTCAAACATTTCTCTTGGTCTCTCTCTGCCTTTCATTCCTTCCAACTTGATCTTTGTAACCACGTACCCCATTTTCACTATCTCATGGTGTGTACAAAACGTGTAGACTGTCTTATTTTGATGATCAACAAGCATACTCGATTACATGAAAAATATACTGGTGTATGTGTGTGCGTATTACGGATACCCTCACGGTGTGCAAAGATTTGTAAAACACAGAACCCTATCAAGCATGCTGTAAGAAGCGACTGGGGGTATGGTTGAACTGGGGTTGGCCACCTCATCACATAATTTTTTTTTAAGCCACAAAAACCAACCAACCATGGAAAAGTTGAAAAGAGTAACAAGCAAAATCTAGCCATCCATCAGGAAAGGGTTAAGAGGGTAAGGGGTGATGATGCTGTGAGAGAAAATCGAAAGGAGTCCAGATCTCATGTGGGAGCTCAATTAACAATAGATGTATCCTTTGAAAACAAAACACTTTTTAAAATCATAATCAATGTAACGGTTCTTTAATAATGTCTTACCACAGATGACGTCACAGGACAGTCCAACATTTTAGAGGGTGGTAAGACTGGGTTTCCCGGCTTTCTGATGATTTTACCTTTAAGTGTCGATTTTTCTCCCTCGTCGTCCCCATATGAATATATATTTTTTAATTTAAAGCCCCAACCCT